CTGAAGCAAGCCTGCTGAGAGGATTCAGTTTTGACCTGAAGACACTGCCGTAGTATTTGATAGCTCGTTCTCATGGTTAACCAATATCATTGAGGATAAGCCATGCCTTACTTCTCTCTTACAGTTATTTGCAGCCCCCGGATGCTGTCAGGTTTGTCTCCATTAGGTTCAAGAGCTTTTTTGATGGTAGCTGGTATGTTCTTCTTATATAGGTTCTTATTATACAGGTAGTATCATATAATCATTACAAACTGAGCTGTTTAATTCTCTCAGTGCAAGACATTTTCTAAGCCAGCAACTATTTTCTGAGGCTCTTCTCAGCAAACTCTTCAGGCTTTTTACATCCTTTTCAAGACACTGGCGTATTTTTGCACTCTCACCAACATGGCAAGATCCTTTGAGACTACTCTGGTGGACAGAGTGGGAAGAAATTTACCCACATGCCGCAGTGGAGCTGCAAAGAGGGGTTCAAGCCCATCTGGCAGTAACAGAACAGCCCAGAGCAGCAATAATACAGCAATTCTACCCAGGTTTCTAATAAAAATGTAGCTTATCCAGTCACTTTTCTATGTTACTTTTTCCCACTGATTCTCCTACCAATCATTTTCTCACTGTTGTCCACCTTCCATAACCTTTTGCAAAGGTGTAAACGCCTCCAAGACATAAAGCACCAACCAGTTTTGGGACAGTAGCTGCCAGGAAGAGGAGGGAAATGTTTGCTAGCACAAAAAGTCCACTGTTCCCTTGGTCCTTTGACAATCCCCTATAAAGAACTGTGGAGAGTATCCCAACCAGACAGTAACGTGCAGTCTGAATTAGCATTTAATTAGGACAGAAGCACAAATCCATGGGAGACCAGGCCTCAGAGCTGTGCAGTTTTCTCCCCCACCATTACTTCTGAAGGACAAGCCACAGCTTAAGCTTATCACTAACTTACGGAAAGTAATCATTCCCAAGCCCTTCCACTCCTGTCTTTTGCACAGTGCAGGTATTCAGAAAAGGTACAGAAGCTTCTGCCATAAGCACTAACTTTCGAGAGTTACACAGGACTTTCTGAGATTAAAAGTGTTTTGATGGGTTTATCAGATAGACTGAAAAGCTATGGAATGTAAATACAATAGGGAGAATTCCAGGGACTGGCTGAAGAATTTGAATTAATCTCAAACTTTAGGGAAAGGAAGTGGGGGTTTCTGGGTGCTGGGTGTGCTCAGGGCACTCTGGGATGGGAAGGAGTTGTGTGCTGGGATGCAGCTGCCTATCTGAAGTAGGCATCCTGCTCCCTCTATAGCTCATGCAAAAAGGCAGGAGGGGTAAGGACAATTCACCTGAAGGTAGATCTCTAAAATAGCTCAGATGAAACTCCTGAAACACTCCTGTTTCTCCCCTGCAGGGAACCAGAGTGATCCAATCTACTGTGGCTACCTGCATCATTAAGTTAGGCAAGCGGAATTTTACTCTTTGTGACCAGCTGGGCTCACATACCATTTTCTGAGTCATCACCTGCAGAAACAACTTAAAGGTCAGCTTCCCTGATCCTTCTTTGCTGAATTCAGAGAAGATTCTCTTCATCTCCTCTTTCCCCAATTCACAGCCCAGAGTCCTTACAGTGATCTGCTAAAAGAGAAAGCAGACCAATGTCTGTTTGAAACAAGCAGGCACATGAAAGTGGTGAAAAAACCCCACCTTTTCATCAACAGCTATTCATCCACCATTTTGTCTCTAGAGAACAGGGTTCTGTAGCTGTCTCACATCAGTAGTACAAGGCCTTGAAAAATTAGCAGCAAAGAGCTGTGAGCAAGGGCCAAGAAGGAAAGCTTCAGTCCCTCTTAGGGGTGCCTGGCTAGTAAGTTGGCAAAAAACTCACACCACTGATGGCTGCATAACGAGTCGGTGTTCAGGCAGCCAAGTCTGTTAGCACAGCAAGCGTCCAAAAGCAACAGGTGGCAAACACCATTGCTCTGTCGCTGCTCTGCAGCGGCGTTTGTCAGGTGCTTGTAAATGATTAGCCCCGTTTCCAACATTTATGTTTACTGCCGGGCATTTCTGTTTGACCACAGTAATTCAAGTTCGAAGTGCAACTGTGGTCACAAAGCAATGGTGTCATTTCTAACCAGCCTGAGGGGATCCGGCCTTCTCATCTGGGTTACTCAGGCTGTGAAAACACATCCTAAGGAGCAGCAGACTGAACACTCTTCAGCTACTCAAACTTGCACTGTGTTTGTAAAGGCTGTTAGAGGACAGGAGTTGCTAGAGAGTTTTGCCTGCAAAATGTCACTCCTCCTCAACTGCTTGAGGGTGGGGTCACTGTGAAGAAAGATAGGGTAGGAGACTCCCGAGATTTACTTCGTAGTGTCACAGAAAAAGGACCTAAACCTCCTACTGATCTGGGCTGAGTTCAATCAGCAGCAGAGGGTCGAGAAGCTCCACACGCTGTTATAAACTCCCACTGCAGGCACAGTAGTACAACAGCAGTACCGCAGTAATATGATTTTCCACATATGAAATGGGTTATGAAGGATATGCTGCACATCCATGCCTTCTTTCAGGCCTGCCTACACAAAGTCCCTGCAGCACAGGTTAACGTTGCCTTGGAGCACTGATGAAAAGCTGATAGAGGAGATTCACAACCAGGGTAAGAAAGTAGGCGGCCTCTAGATGAGAGTGGTAGAACGACTTCACTCCACCTCCTAAAAGTTCACTGTGACCAGAGGTTCTCATTACTGACCAGGTTTTCTTCTCCATAGCCCAGAGGCATGTGAAAGAAGCAACGGAGCTGTGTGGGGCTTCATGGGGGAGGCAGGAGGGAGGGAAGGAAGGAGGACAAGCAAGGAGTCACTAAACCTCACAGCCTTTGTTTTCACCAGTAAACATGATGTTTTTACAGCTTCTTGCCTTCAAGTCACTGACACCTATTAGGCCCAAGCCATCGCATCGAACAACTCAAAGCACTTTTGCAGTTCTTGCCTCTGCTCTTCGCTGACTGGGAACGCGGTGCTCGTTCCTCCGTCGGTGAGCCGTCCCCGGCAGCACCTCTCTCATTGCTGGAAGCCTGTGGGAGAGAGGTCCGGCTCCCTCAGATGGGCCGGTGGGGGGACAGGGACCGGGACCCTGGCCCCAGAGAACGAGCTGGGTTTTTAAGTGAGACTAGCAGCCCCTGCCTCACGCGCTCAGGCCAAGCAGCCCATCCCAAATGACAAGTTAGGAACACAAGTGATGTTCAAACCTCGTTCAACTGCAAATGCATTTGGCAAGGGAGTAAGATAAACATAAAGAATGTGGAATCTGCTAGCCCCTCAGCCAGCACACACCAGGAAGGGCCATCACCAGAGCTTACTACATCTTCAGTGATACAGGGACATCTTTCAAGTCCCCCATCCTTTGGAAAAACCCCAAGCAGAGCTTTCCAATTAGTAGAGAACTGAAAACCACAATCAGCTCTACCAGCTACCGATGCTTGTACAGGAGCACGCGGCCCCATACACCACTACTGTCGTTTCTTGTCTGCGGTGCACCAAGACACGCAAGTCTTGCCAAACTCCACGCTTCAGCCATCAGAACTCGTGTACCTTTCTGCTCTGTCTCCCCTAAACTGCACTGGATCTCGGTCAGAGAGGGACCATGACGCGCGTCTGGATCACTGTCCTGTATTTGAAATCTGGAACTTGTGGCGAGACCTTCAAAGCTAAAATCTCAACTATCCTGCCCGGGTATCTGACGTCTTGTGACGAGCTGAATGTTCTTTCTGAGAACAAATGCATTTGCTAAATTAACTTCGGATGATAAATTAAATAACCAGTTTTTGATGTACTGCTGCTCATATACATATTCCTCTATGTAGGTCTCATGTTAAAATTAGAAATCTGTACTTTTCACAGTTTTCTGTAATGGGGGTACTTTACCATATGGGGGCACAAGAGACTGCACGACTTCCCTCCCCTTTTGATTTACATTCCCTCCCCTTCTGATTTACACACTACACTGGTATAAACAACATTTTCAAAGACAGAAAAAGTCTTACAGGAATTCTGCAGTGACACAGGCCTAATTCAATTATTGTTTGCTTTCATGTTTAGTTCAGGCTTAGATTTCTTCCCCGTGTTTATGGGTTGTGGAGGTCAATTAAATGAAAAAGCTGATACTGAGTCTGTATAAAGTAGAGGAATAAATTAGATTTTGAGTCAGGATGATGTTAAGATTTCTGGAAAGAAGGAATCTGTCCTTCCCTTGCCCAAGACTAGACAAGAAGGATACCAGAGGGATTAGTGAAACAAACAGAAGTAGCAGAAGGGCACGGGAGCTTGTTTCCTTCCAACACAAGGCAAAAGCCCTCCTTCAGTTATGCTCTTGCCTCGACGGATGCCGCTTCAAAGACAGACTCTGCTGTAGCTGCTGCCTCTACAGTGAGCCATTTAGTAACTCGGGCCCTTTTGAAGACTTGACAGTTAAAACTTAAAAAGTTGAAACTCTTCAAGTACCTGGATGAACTGTTTTGTTATTTGTCAGCAGATCAGAGGGCACGCTGTACCAGCAGACTTGTTTGTCATTTTGTATACTTTGTACACTTCTTTCCACAACTCCGATGGCTTAAAACGAGACACTTTATTTTAAATACCGTCTTATATTTGCAGCCACTGCAAACATACAGAGCATTCATCAGCAGCACAGGTAACCTTCCTCTTCTTTTGCAAAGAGATTTCTTTAAACGTGTGAACTGAATAGCAGTAAGTTAAGTTGCAGCAGTGTATTTACTTACTTTTTTTTCGGTTTAAAGAACATACTAAAAAAAGGGGGAGGGGATAACCACCATAAGACAGAGTATAAAAAGCCAATCCCTGCAAATATGTCATATGAAGAGTTCACTATAGCTGTGCCCAAACTAAGACTTTAAACCAAAAACTTCAAGTGAGGGGAAGCAGATTTACACCATCTGGTTTTGAGAATTCTCTTTACCAAACCATAACCATTTGACACATGTTTTTTAGTCAGAAAAGGATCTGAATACTGTCACTGAAAAATGTGATTTGTGTATCGAAAACAGAGTATGTGACCCTCTTACGAGCACAAACAAGCAACCACGTTGTTACATATAAACAGGTTAGTGGTTGGTAACTGTTCACAAACACAAGTTTAAGATCATCCATCTAAAAAAAATATTGACCTATATTTTCTGCTGTCTCAAAAGAAATAAAAGACTGTAAAAAATTGAGGCACCTACCAAACATACATACACATGTGCAAAAATAAATAAAATTCTGGTTCAGTAAAGGCTGGTCTTCTTCATGATCCGCAAGAATTCCTGCTCGTTCACTTCTCCATCCCCATCTCTGTCTGCTTCATCAATCATTTCCTGAAAGATATTTGTATTCAGAAATTAGATGCAGATTAGGCTAGTATTAGAATTATTAGATCAATTTAGAATTAGAACCACTTTTTGGTAAATTGTATTGGAGGGCACAGTGTTAGCTCCACATCAGACCTACTATGCTACAAAATATTTACTAAACTAGACACTGATATGTTTTTATATATATTTATACAAAAATCTGTATAGCAAATGTTGTATTATAGGAACTGTCCTGGAAGAAATAAAGTGCTTGAAGCAGAGTTGTTCCTTTTACGTCACCATAACTCCATAAAACTACAATTCCACTGACACAATTTCAACAGTCTCAGAATCCATTTCCCAATCATAAATTGACAGAAGCTCTTCCATTTCTGCCAGGAGAGAGAGGGCAGGTTTTCACAGAATCAGAATCACAGAATCACTAGGTTGGAAAGGCCCTTCAAGATCATCAAGTCCAACCATTAATCCAGCGCCACCATGTTCCCTAAACCATGTCCTGAAGTGCCACATCCACAAGTTTTTTGAACACTTCCAGAGATGGCGACTCCACCCCCTCCCTGGGCAGCCTGTTCCAATGCCTGACCACCCTCTCAGTGAAGAAATTTTTCCTAATATCCAATTTAAACCTCCCCTGGCGCAAGTTGAGGCCATTTCCTCTTGTCCTATCGCTAGTTACTTGGGAGAAGAGACCAACACCCTCGTCGCCACAACCCCCTTTCAGGTAGTTGTAGAGAGCGATAAGGTCTCCTCTCAGCCTCCTCTTCTCCAGACTAAACAACCCCAGTTCCCTCAGCCACTCCTCATAAGACTTGTGCTCCAGACCCCTCACCAGCTTCGTTGCCCTTCATAACAGTTCAAGTGTAAATTTCCCACGGGACGCTAGAGGACAGTGCCTAAAACTGAGAGACTGCTGCCTTTACCTAAAAACTGACCCTGAGAGGGTTTCCTCCCCCACTGAGACAGAGATTCCCATTCCTTATTCTTACTGATAGTTCTAGTGCTTAGCAGACCAGTCGGAGGTGGCCAGCTCTCCAGACAGAAGGAGAATTAGGCTGTGACTATTTACATAGGTTTTAAACAAATGTAAATACAAAACCGAGTAATACATGAACATTCTGTGGTTGCCTTCCTATTCAATGGGCACAGTGTAATCTGGATCCTTCTGTGTTCACTACACACAGAGGCAGACAGTGAGTATTTGTGAATGATGTGGTTTCATATACCAGGTACAAACCTGCAGCTCTTCATCTGTGAGATTTTCCCCCAGTTCTTTGGCGACACGTTTGAGGTTTTTGAAAGAGATTTTGCCAGTTTCATCGTCATCGAAGAGTTTGAAAGCTTTGAGAATCTCCTCTTTGGAATCTTTTTCAGCCTTGAAGAAGTAAGCATAAGTTTAAGGAAAAAAAAGTAGTGGTTATGTTGTAGGTAACGCTCAAAATAAAGTTGTGAAAGACAAACACTAGATAGACTGAGAAACTCTCTTAAGAGTTTCTTTAAAGAAGCCCAGCCAGCAGGAAATATATGTACAAAAGTTGGAGGTAGACAGAGACACAGCCATGCCTCCTGAACCTCACGGTTTCAGGGAATTTTTTGTCTTTCATAGCTAGCTAGATGGGATTCCAGTATCAGGATCTTCCACTGTTAAATATCTGGCTTCACTCAACATGTGTTAAGAGCTTTAAAACCAGAATTCTCAACAGTTAATATCTTAAAACTCAAGAAAAGAAAATACAGTGCATTGCTACACAGTCATCCATGTAACGTACCAATACTCGCGACAGCTTTCTGCAGGCCAGAGGTGGTTTTAAGCTGTGATAAAAATCTTGATTTCAGTTTTTCCCTTTTCTCACACACACAAAAAACTGATTAATAAACTTGTTAATGACATAATTATTTCAACCTTACTTTGAAAAATGAGATAGGCTAGTCCCTGTCTTGCAATTCTAACTTTTACATGTTTTGTTGTTAAGATTAAAATAGTGCTTTCATCTTCCACTAAAACCAAAAGGAGATGAAAGGTACTCAGCCACTTTCAAAGCTGCTTTCAGTTTGATTTTTAAAATTTATATACCATTTTCTGTGTCATCACTACCAAGAAGTCACTGAAGCTGATTTTTCCTGTTCCTTCCTTATCGATATCTGATATCATTTTCTTGATCTCTTCTTTTTTGGGTTCAAACCCTAGTGCTCTCATGGCCACCTGTGAGGACAGGGAAAAAAAAAAAAAAGTATAAATCATACAAAACTATAAACAAAACCACAGGGGGGTAAGAAAGTTGAACTTTATGCCATATCATGTTAAAACATGTACTCTGTATCTCAAGGGAAACAGCAAGGTAAGGGGCAGACTTAGAGCAATGCTTCTCTTCACGCAAGGGCACATCAAGATGCAGAAAACAGGAATGCAACCAGTCACATTCTGGAGCTGTCCTTCAGTTAATTCAGAAATTTCCTAAACACATTCTTACCATTGCATCCACCAGCCCCAGCTCAGAACTGGCAAGAATTTGGAGGGTAAGGCTACGTAACAGAATCCTGGGAGAGATGTTTTGCCTGAGAAAATCTGGACCTTTTATAAAGTCTTAGTATACCTATTTTGGTATATATTTTTTAAAATTCTTGTGATGGGCACTAAGAGCATAAAAGAGTCCCACTGATTAATATTTTGAAGGAAAAATCCCAAACTGTCACGCAGTGCTGTGGATAGCAATTTCCAAGGCTACTGGAAAATTGAATGTTATTCCATTCTTGTTAAGGGAATTGCCACTAGTATTCCCTTTGTAATGAGAAACAAGACACTGAATAATAAATAAAATTTTAAAAAGCTTATTTCAGGCCCTGTTGTAAGGAAGATGGCTAAATGGAAGACCGTGAAATGTCTCAACAAAATAATTTCAAGACAAGTGCCTCCATGAAAGAAGTTTCCATCATACCTGCAACTCTACCGAACTCTAACAACGTGATCTGATGGCACAAACATGGAAGGTGTTAAAGTGATAGACCACAGGGAACTTAAATTAGTTAATTTTTCATTCTGGTGGCAAAAATCTATGTTGATGAACGTTGGCAAAACATAATTCAAACACTGTGTGCCTTTCACTCAACACTCCTATAAACAGCATATCCAAGGATGCCTTCACTTTCAGAAACATGCATGCACGCCTACACGCTTTAATTTTCCCTCCTTTGGTAAAGGGACAAGTGGCAAGTTTGAAATCAGGTCTCCTCCCTATGGTCTTAAGTAATACGGACATCCAGCTAGCAAATACGAAGGGCAAATTCTGAAAGCAAAAAGAAGTCCTAGTTTACTGATTACTATTCTTCCCAAAGGACAGGGGTGGGGAGGGACCAAAAATGTTCTGCAATAGATGAAAGCATGAAAATGAGTAACTGGTGTATTCCATAGCTTGGGTAACCTAATTTGCAAAGCATGCGATGGTCAGCAACACAGAAGAAGGGGAAACCCCCCCTCCCCTTTTTTAATATGCACAAATCCTTTTTGATGTTTTTTTAACAGAAAAGGATAGAGTACAGAAAATACAGTGGATTTTGGCCAGCCCAGCCCTAATGAGACCTGATAACAGCAGTAAAAAGCTATAATGAAAAAGCAAAATGTACTTGTTGAAAGGTTTTATGCTGGAGGGGAAATAAATCTTTCCTTTCCTGCTTAAAGTCATTTAGGCGTTTCTGCCCCTATTACTTTATAACCTCAGTGGAACTGAGAAAATCTTAGTAGAACTAGGAAAATTCTTACCTTTAGCTCCTTAACATCTATGTTCCCGGTGCCGTCTGTGTCAAACAGGTCGAAAGCCTCCCGGATCTCCTGCTTCTGCTCCTCACTGAGCTCCAGCTTGGCACTCGCTTTCTTCCTCTGGGCCGCGGCTCCTAGCGAGGGCTTCTTAAAGCTGGAGGCCTTGGCACAGCAACACAAGAGCAAAGAAGGATCAGGCC